GAAATTACATAACATTATCTTAAATATTCTTTTTTATATTCTTTTAAATTTAAAATTTTTAAAAAATTTTAAGTAATTATTTACGATGAGTGCAAACTTCAAATATTTATATACATATTTTGATATCTTAAATTTTTATTTATGCATATTAAAATTGTAAATATATTATATACATATTTTAAAATTTTAAATTTTTATGTGTCTTTATATTATCTCAAATTTCAATTACAAGTAACTTTCAAATACACTAAAAAAAAGTGCACTTCCTCCTCTCTTTGCTCTGGGTTTTAATTCCGCTCCTTTTAAACATGTTGAAAAAACTTTCAAATCGCATTTTTTTTTTTTTAAGCTCTGTTTTTACTCGATGAGACGTGTGTAGGGATAACTTGAATCACAGTCGCCAATTTTCTTCTGCGCTTGGTAAAAGGACAGGCGGTCTGTGCGTCTGGTCAAGTTAAAAAAAAAAAAAGTACTAATAATAATAATAAATGTGATGTACAGCTTGACAAAGCCAGAAACGACGCTGGGAATTTTGGCACGGTTCAGAATGGGTCCAAAACGACAACAAGTAGCCAAACCTAGAATAAAAATTCAGATCTATGAACAACAAGTCAAACTGTAAAAAGGGTACTGGCATGACACGTGTTCTTATCTTAATGGCGATGTAAATTTCATTGTACGGTCTAAAAAATTGAGTTATTTTTATCCAATAAATAAAAAAAATAATGTTTTAAAGATAATTTTTTATAATTTTTTATTTATTATTAAATAAATAAACAAATTTAACGTTACATTAAATATGATTATTAAATATTAAAAAAATAAATATATTTAATATTATAAATTTTATATAAATAAAAAAATTAATTATTTAAATAATATATTAAATTATATAAAAAAAGGCCAAAAAAATAGTAAAAAAAATAATCCTAAAATCGTTTTCCGAACAGAAAAACAAGCCACAGTTTTGACTCTGACCGAAACCAACCGCATCCACCCACCCACCCCATCGTCCCCCACCGGATCCCCTCACAGTGACGGTCAAAATAACAACAGCGAAACTCTTCACTCACCCTCTGTTTTCTTCATGGTGATGGAAAAGAATCCTGACCCATTGGCCCCCAACAATAAAAATTTAAAAGTAGCCGAAAGGTGAAATTTTGGACCCAAAAGGGTCAAATTAACGTATGAGTGTTTTTTGGGATTTTGGAAAGATTAAAATGCCCGTTGATACCGAGTGATGTTGGTCGACAAATAGGAGAAAGAAAGTTCTAGATTATTAATCTCACCCACCAAATCTCACATTGGAATGGCAATGTAAAAGTAAATAATATTTAACTGTAAACAGTAATTATTATTGATAACTCAATTTTAAGTTATCAATTCAAAGAATTATTAATTTAATGGAGGTTTCAACATAACTCCTTTAAGCAATCAATTTAAAAACTTTAATTGTAATTTTTTTA